AAAAGTAGTTTATTAATTCGTTTTTAATTTTATATAAAGTATATGTGACTTATTGCTTTAATAATTTTTTTGTAGATGTTACCACGTGGTATGGCTGGAATGGATGTGAATAGTCTAATGCGTCAAATGGTTTGTTAATATTAATAATTTTATTTATAAACTTTAGAAATTTAATTTATTTTTGTTCATATATACTGTTTTATTATTAGATGGGTGGCGGCGGCGGCGGCGGCCCTGGTTTGCCAGCAATGCCCGATTTTAGTCAAATGCAGAACATGATGAAACAAATGGGACTTGGTGGTGGTTTTCCAGGAATAGGTGGTGGCGGTGGTAGACGATAATTAGCATAAAACAAACATTCTCAATATTTCGTTATTTTTCGATTATCAATTATTTATTTTTTAATATTTTCGACAAAATCGAATGTCATTTTGTTACCTATCTCTAGTCAATATCTCGATGTAATGAAATTACTATCATGCTAGGGAAAAGTAAATTAGAGTGTGCGACACAAGAGCACATATATTACGTGTAAGAATTGACAATTATATAGATATATATATATATATATATATATGTGAATTTATTTACTTATTCAGCGATAATTATTACATAGTTAACAATCGAAAATGTGGTGTATAGTAACAGTTGATTATCTTAATTTACATTTACTTATTAGATTTAGAAGCGGCATTGCGTTGTCCTCTTCTGGGTGGTTTAACTTCGTGTTTTTTATCATCAGCATCTCCATGTACGCTGGGTTTAATTTCTGTGCTGTTGCTGTTATTATCAGTGGGAGTCTTTGAGGGTTTTACAGCCTTTCGACTTCGTTTTGTAGTTGGTTTCTCAGCATCATCTTTAGATAAAGTATCTTTCGCATCTCCTTTGTTTGCAATTTTATCTAATAATTCGTCAGATTCGGTTCCTGTTCCTTTATTATTATTATTATGAGCAGGGGTTTTGACATTTCGTACTCGCCTTGTGGTTGTTTTAGCCTTTCCGGTATTAGAATCGTCTTCATTTGCGTCA